AGCTTTCAACCTCACTGAAGTACGCAAGCCCCTCCTCCTCAACAAGCCCTGTGACCATCATGATGATGATGATGATTTACATTATTTTAATATAACGTTTATATAAAGTTATGCTTTATATAACATTATTTTATATAACATACTAGTTGAAGCTCTGACTATTAGAAAGGAATGAGGAGAATTTAACAAAATAGATTGCCACCATGATTTGGAACCATGAGAACAATGAGCAATATTTAACAGCATGAGATTGTCCAACACGAATGGGCAGAACATGTTTCCGTTGAAGTCTGACACTTCAGAGGTGGCTTGTGGTCTGAGCTGGAGGAGGCAAAAAAAAAAATTAGGCTCTTGCTGGAATCATAGACCCTCTATACTCTGACCAATTTTTGTAAATACATCTTGTTGCAGATATTTGGGTTCCATTGGTTATATATATTCAGCAAATTATGTGTCATCTTGACTTTGGGGGCACAAATCTAATAATGACTGTACGGTGCCAAGTCAGTTCTGACTTATGGCTACCTTTTACAATTTTTTTAAAGGTTTTGTGTACTCTAGCCTTTATTCTGTGGAAAGGAGCTCATGTTGAAAGAATATTAAATAGCTGCATAAATAAGTATGGCCACAGACTGGAAAAAGGAATAATATATCCTTAGCTCATAAGGCTGGAACAGATTGTCTGAACAAGATAAACAACATTTTTTTAAAAAAAGGCTTTTGTTTTCATCTTTTTTAAAAAACCAAGCAATGGTGGGTAATGAAGAAACAAAACCTGTTCCTCAAAGCTTGCTACTTAAATGGGCGCACAGTGTCCTTCGCCCTATTGTTTCTCTCTGAAAATTTGCTTTCAATATACAGGACAAATTTTCTGTGAATGTGGGGAAATTCAATCAATTTATGCTCCTCCACATGTACAAAAGAAGATATAGTAAAGGGCCAAGACAACATAATTGAAGTGGCCTGCTTCCGGTAAAATAAATAGTCTGTTTTAACATTTTAATGTATTTTAATTTTTAACCTGTATTCCATATATGTCAAAATCTTGAATTGTTCAATGCTCTGATATGAATAAACAACAAAAATGAACCATAAACACCTAATGACATCTGGATGTGGGAGACAATGGGTATCAACATCTTAGGAAATCATTTTTAAAAATCACTCATTCTTTACAGCTAGTCTTGAAAGGTTGGGGATGGGAACAAATATTTGAAGGATTGTTGGTTATTTTTTTTCCAGTGCAGTAAGTTATATGAAGGGGACACATGGAAAATTGGGTGGTTTATCACCCAAAGGATGGAGCACACTCTGTTCTGAGATAGAAAGGACAGATCTGGTTTTTCAATTTTTCTGCCAAGCAATACATTAAAAAAAGGAAATTTGTTCTTAAGCTCACAAAGGGCTACCACTTCTTTTTGCCTCTTGACCCTCTTTTCTCTCTACACTGCCTACAGAGTAGTGAACCCAGTGTGAGTGGTAGCGAGCAGGAGAGGATATGTAGACAAGTTGTCCTCAACCTTGGGCCTCCAGATGTCCTCAGGCCTCCAGAAATCCTGGCCAGCAGAGGTGGTGGTGAAGGCTTCTGGGAGTTGTAGTCCAAGACCATCTGGAGGCCCAAGGTTGGGGACCAGTGCTGTAGACCATCTTAATTGCTGTCATTAGTGTTGTTTGCTATGTAAAGCTTGGCACCCTTTTTCTTGATAGCAGTATGGGCATAATATGGTGCTGCACTATCGGGCCATTTCTTGGCTTTTTGAATCATGGGTACAGAAACACAATATCCCACATTTATAAAATGGTGAGGGCTTTTTAAGAATTGGATTTGCTATGTTTTGTAAGTGGAAGTTTAAATATACATACATTACACACAAATTGCAACAGAAACTTCCCTCACCTAGAATTACCCAGTGCTAGAGGATTCCAGAAGAGGAGCATGTCGTCTGTACTCGGGTTGCTGGGAGAGGACAGAAGCAAGAACAGGTTGCATGTGGCTGCAGCCCCTCTGTGCCAAAATATTTTGAAGTGTTCTTTGGACTTAATGAAATGGTGTAGCAAAGGTGTGAGTAGGTACAACAAGTACAATGGAGAAATGCACACACTCTTTAACTTTTCGGGTAAGTTAATGTTGCCATGCCTGCTGCACAGAATGCAGACTAGAAACCAATGTCCCCATTTCTAAACCCTTCCCTTCAGTTCGGCAATCTGAGGAAGAAAAGTGGTATTGGACCGAACGACACCTGTTGTGTCCATGTTTTTCAAAAGATCTCGCTTTGCTCTTTGAAATAATAATAATAATAAAAAAAGAGGTTCGAGTTAGCAAAGAATGTTACCATAAAGCAAAGTCAAAATCGTATGTACATACTAAGTGACAGAAAGACATTAAAGAAAGACAAGGTCAAAAATCAACTCATTTGAAGTGTGATGTTGGAAAAGAGCTATACAGATAAGAAAGACAGCAGATAAGAAAGCAAAAGAGTGCTTAACCAAATCAAGCCTGAACTCTCACTAGAACAAAAATGAGTAAACGACCTATATGGCCATGCATGTATAAGGAGAATACAGAACTGACCAGAAAAGAAAATATTGCTGTGAAAAGTGGGATGGAACATTATAAAAAGAGGAGGACCTAACATGAGATGGCTTGATGCAACTGATGATGCCACAGCTCTTAATTTGCAAGATCTGAGCAGAACGTACTGGAAAATACTATATTGCTAGCAGTGGAAAGTGAGAACAGCCTAAGTTTTTATCCCTTTGAAATGGCTGTTTAAGAGTCATGGATGCCTGGATTATTTTCAAATAAAAAAGGGCTGATATTAAAGGGGATGGGACTCAAGATAAGCAAGTCTGGATATTTCAATATAATCTGCAGTTTAAAATCTGCAGACAAAAGGTTGGCAGTTTCTGCATGGGAGGTGCAAATAATTTTACTTTTTAAAAAACATAACTCAAAAAAGTTTGGCCAAACACCCCCACAGTTGGCTACATCTATGCCAAGTTTGGTGCTAATTCAAGGGCCAGTTTCAAAGGTATAGTTTTTTTTTTGGGGTTCCCCCATTTTTGAGTTGCCTTATGGAATGCTGAACTGTGCTGTCACACAATATATATTGCTATATGTTTGTGCAGCAATAATGCACTGGAACAGGTAGGAGATGCAAAATGTAGTCACAGAGACTTTGCAGTCATGACATAACAATGAAATAATACTTCTGCATAATACATTGGATTGAACTGGATGATGGAAGACATAATGTGGGTTAGGCAGCAGATGAGAGGCAAGTCCACTGTCCTCTGTGATCTAAAGCAGTAGTCCCCAACCTTTTTAGCCCCATGGACTGACTGGTGGAGGCGGGGCACCCCATGTGCTTGTGCGCATGTGTGAAGGAGCATGCATGCATGTGCAAAAGGGGGATGCAGTGCTTGTGCACATGCATGCACAAAGGATGGTGCAGTGCTTGTGCAGGTGTGTGCTCTTGCACAGCTGTGCAGGGGGGAGAGTGTGCCGGGGGGAGGTCTCTCTCCATGGTCCGGTCTGGCTCAGGCCACAGACCGGCACCGGGCCACAGCCAGTGGGGGGGAGGGTGGCGACATCTGCCCTAAAGGAAAAATCATTACTGATACAAGAGTATGGCTTAATGTGTGCTTTTCAGAATGAAACCCAGAGGTCAATGTTTGAGTCTTGAATGTCCCCAAACTCATTATTTTCCTTAGTTAAAGGAAATGAGTGAGTGGATTCAAAATCTTGGGTGACTTGAAAGAGCAAGGAATTATGAGGGTATTGGGAAGAATGAATAAAGCAGCTAAAGGAATCTTGGAAGAAAGCAAATATAGACACTTGGACAGGGATCTCCAGAGCAAAAAATAGCTTGGTTTGTGGGGGTAGGAAATGGGGCTGCAGACACAAGAACAAAGAGCTGAAGAAGGGGAAAAGAAAATCCTTAGGCTGATTTTAAAAAAAGCCACAAACAGAGAGAAAAAGATGTGGTTGGCTTCTGGAACAGTAAGAGGGAAGAGAGTAAGTGCAAAAAGTTACCACTCCTTGTACTACGTCCTCCTATGTGTTGGCCAACATCGTCAATCCTCCCCCCCCCCATTGTAGCCATAGTCCTTCTACATTCATATGGGCTTTCCCCGGAATTAATTTCTGACAGTAGGCACTCCTGCTGCACCAGACTCCTGTCCAATGGCTCCTGAAAACATTCAGGAGTTCCTTGGGCAGCAGGACCTGTGGCAGGACCAGGGAAAAAGAGCTTCACGATTGTGCCTCTTGCCACTACAAATGAGCTTTTCATAAAAGTGAATTTCCAGGATCAACACATGAGCATAACGCAGTTCCATTTAGGGCCCTTATGTTTTCATTTCCTAATTCCATGTGTTTTGTACTGGGTTATTTTTGTATTTATTTTATATGCAGCAACACTCTGCTAATGGAAATCTGTAAATCAAGACCTGAGTGTCTTGAAACTTATCACATGTGGACACTTCCGTGTGTCATTGAGGCATACATTTGATAGTCACAAGTAGATAAAGTTCTGTTCATTATTTTTATCCAACACAGTCCTTAATTAGACTCAGCAATGAGTGGATGCACTGTTGTTAAGCATGGGTAATTCTGTTGGGGAAGGAAAGGTCCTGAGTTCCTAGTTAATTCATATTTTGGCCTGCATTTCAAAACCAAATCATTAATAATTTTTTGAGTGCTACAATTCTTTGTTATTTGGATTAAAAGATTAAGATGGCTGCTTCCCTGGAAAGCATATAGCAGAGGGACACCATGTCTTATGCACACTACCCTTTCCTGTTGAGAAGGAAGGGTGAATCAAAAGTTAGTATTTTGGTATGATGAGGAAAAGCGCAAAATTACTTAATACATTACAAAATAGATGTGCACTGTAGACAGCCAGTGAGACCATTCCAGATAATGAGACAAAACTTTGTAAAACCTGATGCCCTGAATTCTTTCTCCCTTTCAATTAGGTACCTCCATAAATAACCTGGAAGCTGAAGGTACCATGTCGTCAGTTGCAGCTTACTACAATGGGAAGTCCGTCCTTGTTACAGGAGCCACAGGATTTATGGGCAAAGTACTAATAGAAAAGCTTCTGCGCTCCAGCCCTAACGTGAAGGCTATTTATATTCTTGTGAGACCCAAAGCTGGACAGTCGATGCAAAACAGAGTGGAGAACATGGTGAAATGCAAGGTAGGAAGTCTAATTTTCTTTAGAAACAATGTCATACATTCAATAACACTTAGCAAGTCAGAGTTACTGTGTATCCAGTGCCACTTTACTAAACATTGATGGGACATTAGACACAGCGATCCCCAATGAGAATCCTAATTGAATAATAATTCTTACTTGACTTCTTGCTAAGCTCTTTCACAAGCTTAGAGGAAGGCTGTAAAGGCAACAAGTAGCAGGACAGTGGGACAGATCCTGCACAGCTCACATTGTTTTATCACATGGGATATAAAGTTCAGCAGGTTCCTGCTTGAACAAAGTCAAGTTTTGGAGAATTGATAGTATCATCAAAGGAACATAAAACACCACCTGCATTCCTGACAGGAGGGGAAAACAAACTGTTAGCAAAAGGCTATGTTTCAACCTCTACTACAAAATGTATGCCTTTGTTTGCACCTCGGTAAAAACAAAGGATAATACCGAAATATTTATCTGTTTGACCTGTTCGATACTGTTACCATTTATTTTCCACTGTAATTGATTCCAGGACTTAGCAAAAACTAACATTTTAGACTTGTTGTAATTCCATTGCATTTTGTTTTTATCCAAATACTCCACACATCTATTAATCAAATGTTTCAGACCAGGACGAGCGTGTGAAATAATAATGGCATCATCCGCATAAAGCAGTAGCAAAACAGAAAATACCACTAACTTGGGAGGGTGACCATCCACATTTGCTAAATAAGGAACTAGATCATTCATAAAAAGGTTGAACAAGGAGGGAGCAAGGATGCATCCTTGCTTCACCCCTTTGTTGGTTGGAAACTTGTTAGTTAATTTGCCCTTCTAAGAAGATCTAACTTGACAGGTAGTGCCAGAGTGTAAATCTTTTATGAGAGAGAAAAGTCTTGTATCTAAAGATGGCTCTTCCAGTCACCAAGAACTGTGTTTTAGCATGTGTTGTAAACACTGCAGCTATTATGAGATTATTTCAAGTTGGGGCTAATATTCAGGAACCTTATAGTTCTTTCTATTTGTCCTGGAGCTACAGTACATTTGTGCTTTCAAGTTGTTTGATAGAATCAGAGAAGAGTGGCCCAACTTCCATGAGAAGATCAAGCCGATCAATGCTGAACTCACCCAGCCAAATCTGGCAATTGCTCCCGAGGATGCTGCAGAGCTGCTATCAGAAGTCAACGTTGTCTTCCATTGTGCTGCAACCGTTCGCTTTGATCAGCCACTAAAGTAAGTCATTTTTGTTTATTCCACCTCCAGACCTCATCAGATTTATGTGTACCTAAGATAGCTGAGTTCATAATAAGTGAGAGTAGAATGCTAGGTGGAATTTCACTTTGAAAAGGAACAGCTGAGCAGAGCATTCAGCATTATCACCTCCTTACATTCAAGGAGAACTGTAAGGAGAAAATGTGTGATGTTAGCATTGACCCCTTTGACATCTTCTCGACATCTGCTTCGCTGTGAACCTAAATACTGTATATACTGAGCAGCTCACAAATCTAGCTATCCTTCATTGAGGCTGGAGCAGTTTTCCATCTGGAAAGACAGGAGTGTGTGTTTACTTGCATTCCAGGAGATTAACACCAAAGCCTTTCAAGAGCATCCTCAGCAAGAAAGAAACCGAATTGCTGCAGAAAGCACAACATTATCTGAACAGTTGGTTTCAACAGCAAGTAACTCCAATGCTAGAGAAACCACAACGTCAAGCTCTTAAATCTTTGTATCATCTTTTTTTTCCTCTGAGAACGCTTACCAAAGGCCAAAAAAAATTTCAGTACATTGCAGATATTTTAGCTATTCAAGTAACCATGAAATTGTAAACCCAGACATTCTGACACTCTGAATGCATGAGTTATACTTAATGTGGCAGCTCACGACCAGAGCAGTCCAAGTCTCCCCGCTCAGTCCATAAATGCATCCAAATATGTAATTAGACCATTAGATCATCCATCCTTTTGCTTTCTATAAGGATATTTTGTATTTGTTGCAGCCTTGATTTTGGGGGCAAAATGAAGTGGTGGATCCTTTGGCATTTCCAAAGCTTTCTCTGGTGGGGGTTGACTTAAAAAAAATTATTTCCATTTGTTTTGATGGGAAGGGGAACACCCAGCCTGAGGCTGGTATTGACAAATATCCCATTTCTGGAGCCTTCTAGAGCGGTGAAGAGGCTTGGGGGTCTGTCTGATCTATTGCTGTCACTGACCCCCAAAATAGCGTATTCAGGAAAGGGGTCTACCACTGCTGAGAACACCAGTGAAGACAGATATGCCTATAGAGCTTTCTGCATGCATAACCAGGGCCCACAGGGAGGGCATGTCCCCTGGGTTTGTAGCGCTCTTCTCTGCCAGCGGGGCAATACCTCACCCCATTCTGCCCTTTCCCAAATGGCTGTCCAAGATGTTTAGGACTGCTCTATCTCACTGCTTTTGCTTGTTCCACTGCTTATTTCGGTTATTTATTATTTGTTGTTCATATGAGGTGCTTCGTATGACAGGTCAAATCAAGGTCTCTGGCTCAGAGATCCTTTAATGAGGCCACGGGTACTATACCTGGGTTTTCACCAAACAAGATTATGCCCTGCCATTGATTTATGCATCTATCTCAACTACTGAAAAAGTACCAGTGACTAGTTCAGACTTTACCTAATACAGGGAAGTGTATGTTCTCGCCTTCTGAAGGGCATGTTTGGCAAGGTCCAGAAACATGGAGCAGGCAGAAGGAAGGATATGTAAACTGCCTCGATTTCTTTTCTTTTTACTTCCCTTGAACATCTGCAGTACCTCTCTTAATCCATAAAAGACAAAAGGGGACTAACTAGAGATGCTTGTTACCTCATCACAACCTTTCTGTGTTTTATTTGGCCAGGCTTGCCCTGTTGCTCAATGCCAGGGGCACCCAGCAGCTCCTGGTATTGGCCCACCGGATGCAGCATCTTGAGGCCTTCATCCACTTTTCAACTGCCTTTGCCAACTGTAATCGGAGTCATATAGAGGAAGTCGTCTACCCTCCTCCCTTGGAGCCCAAGAAACTTTTTGACCTTGTGGAGTAAGTAATGGTGGGGGAAAGCCCTTCGCTTTTGGTGCGGATTTAAATATTTTTTATGATCAATACAAAGTGCTTCTTTAAAAAGTGTGTTGCTTATATACCACCCCATGGAGCTTAAAGCACTCTGGGCGGTTCATAATTTAATTATGCAGGGTACACATTGCCATCTCCTGGTACGCTGGGTACTCAATTTGCTGGCTTGTTGGGAAAGGAGTACCAGAAGAACAAAACACAGAGCTGCCAAGCTGTTTGAAAAAAGAAATTGTCTTAACTGTCTGAATGATTTTGAATAATTCTTCCTTAAAGCCCTTAAGAATGGGCCTTTGGTTTTAACAACAGACACAAAACATGAAAGAGGCTTTAGTGTAATTCGTGTTCTTTCAGCAATTGCCAAAAAAGCGCCTCTTAAATGCAAATGATCCATGCTTATGGGAGAAGGATGCATGAAAACTTCATGTTTCTCTCATGTTTCCTCTTTTGTGGAACCTCTTGGTGTCTTTTTTGCCGTTTTCTGTCAATTGGCCACAGAAAATTTTAATTTAATTTAATTTTTGTTTATTTAGCACTGTGAGGGGGTCAGCAGCCAGCCAATCAGAAAATCTGGGGGAAGCAGGAATTTTGAATCTGTAAAACAACCTCAAACCCGGTGAAGAATGTTCTTGGCTTAAATCATTCCTTGCAGTATTACTCCTCGTGCTCTCCATCTTGTATTGCTTCCTGCCTGCCAGCTATGATGGAGATCTTGGATCATTTCCTTTCTCCCAATTTTTCTTGATTTTTGGAAGGATTTCCATATTAATGAATGAGGGGTTTTTTTCCCTTCTATTTTTTCCTGTGGGGAGGGCAGCGGGTGTTTTCTCTGGTAATTTTTAAAAAATGTTACTTGGTTAGTTTGCTGTGCATTTATTCTGTTAAAAGTGTATAGGGATGGTGCTTTTATATTGTGCTACCCAGGCCTGGAAGATCCGTTGTGCTGTGGGTGTGGCACTGTACTTATCCTGTTGTTTTGAATGTGATAATATAATTAATTGCTGAAGCTACAGAAGCCATACATTTGATTATCTCTTTTATATGTCTGCAGACCCTCTGACCATATACAGATATACAACATTCTTACTATACCCCAGAGACATAAACATTGACACAGTCATAATTAGAGATAGGCACAAATTTTTAAAAAATCAACAAATTTGTTCAAAAATTGTTAATTTGTCGATGTGTACTTGTAGAAATTAATGCCCTGACAAATACAAATCAACAGATGTTTTAATGATTTTTGAGTTATTGATTTGTTTGCCTATAAAATGCCCCCCGGCATCTAAAGATACCAACATTTCAGGGAAGCTTTCTCTGAATCTCTACAATCCTTCCAAGTTTGATGTAGATTGGGTTTCAGATGTCCAAGTTATACATCCTCAAAGATGACCCCCAGCTCTTACAGACATCAAAATCACAGAGAAGCTTCCCATGACTTTCCTCTACAATCTCTCCAAGATGAAGACTGGCTTTCCGCAAGCCAGCTGCTAAAGAGCACTTTCCTGAGGGATCCACTTTGTGGGTCTATAACTTGGATGTCTGAAACCTAAACTTCACAAAACTTGGAGGGATTGTAGAGGAGAGTCAGTGGAATTTTCCGTGTCATTTGTGTGCCTCTAGCTATTTTTCAAGCTCCATCAATCATGAATAAAAATGAATAACTTTTTCTGATTTATGCCCCTCTCTAGTCATAATAAAAGTGTTTCTTAATTTGCAAACGAACATGGTGAAATGTTACACATTAATTTTGAAAGTTTTGTTAGTATTATTCTTTCACTCTCCTCCCCATCATTTCTCTCTTCGGTATTCATGAACACTTTCAATGTATCCTCTTAGGTGGATGGATGAGTCTCTTCTTGAAGAGATCACACCCAAGCTTATCGGGGATTGGCCCAACACCTACACATTCACCAAAGCCTTGACGGAATATTTGGTTCAGCAAGAGAAAGGGGACTTAAACATTGCTATCATTAGACCATCTATTGTGGGTGCCAGCTGGCATGAACCATTTCCCGTAAGTATGATTGCTTCTCCATCCTTGCTCAGTTCCCTGAAAATGCTGTTAGAAGCATTTGCTTTACACAGAGCATATCTGTCTGTCAGGATATTGTTGCAAACATATTTGCTAGAAATAGTAATGGAGTGGAATCCTTGGGACATTTGGGGTTTTTGAGAATTATGAGAGAAAAGAGGCAAAACAAATCATCATCACTTTAGAACTGCAGAGCTGGAAGGGACTTTACAGATAATTGAGTCCAGCCTCTGTCAAGGAGGCACAGTAGGGAATTGAACTCCCAACCTCTGGTTCAGTAGCTAGATGCCTAAACCACTGAGCTACCCAGCAGCTTGTCCAAGACAACATATGCTCCCTTTGTCATGTTTGGGAATTTCACAAACTTTCATGAAAATTAATGCCTTCTAGGGCAAATAGACATCTCCCAGCATTTGTGATGTTTTGACAACCAAGTTTCATTACCCATTTATTTATTTATTTATTTATT